TCGTATGCCTGAACCCGATGTCAAGACAAAATTCGAGAAGACTGGAGATGGGGGAGGGCGCAGGCGGTCTGCGTGAAACACACTCCAATACACGCCACAGCAACACCAGCTCGCTAGGTGGCGTGGAAGCGCCATAGAGGCCGCATTAAGAGGGAGCTATTGAGCCTGACCCTCAACCTGCAGTAAGTCACTCCACACAACGAGACACACACTGGACTGACTGCGGTATCCAAGTTATCCCGTCAGTTGGCAACCCTCTAAGCCACGGCTTTTAGCGCACCGTGATAGCTTCAACCGCATCTCACTGTTTTTAGTGAGTAAATAAATGCGCTGAGTGGCGATCTCATTCTCTCTCTCTCACTCTCTTCAGCCACTGAGGCCCTTCTAACAGGTACTGACGGCAACTTGCCCGAAAACGGTCATTCCGGTGTTTCCTAGTCGCTGGTACTAGTGACTTGATAGTCAAATGTAACCGTCTTTGCGAGTGAGCAATTTAACTAGATCTTACAGGAAGAAAAGATATTTCCAGCCTCCCCGCCGTTCACAACCACGAGTCAAATTTGTTTACGTTGAACAATCCATTCCGTCTCTGTGTCTGTTTCCGAATATGGACGAAAGGCTGAGATGCTTATGTGCACAGAATTGTGTATGCTAACGACTAATTGCTCTATTTAATTAACAAACCAGATAACTAAATTATAACCTTGTAGGATTTGCGAGTTATGAATAGAGTGTTATAAAGGAAAGGAAGTTAATTAGAAGTCGTTAGCGCTAAATGGAGAATCGCAATATATAAAGGTGAATTAAGTAAAAGAAAAAACAAAACGCTAGACCTCTAGTTTGTTTCCTTGAAGATGGCTAACATTTCCGTCCTAAAGTAAGGCTTATTAGTGCAGAAAAAATAAGTACAATGCGAAGCCTTACTTCCAATTTGTTCTCTATTGATAACAGATGGCCTTGTACTTTGCCCACTTCACGGTCTGGCTTAGTTTCAGTCACATTATACAGCCTGCCGAGAAATGGATGCAGCATTTTTCCACCAGGTGTTTTGCTTCCAGTTTCCAGCTTAAAGATTTCCGCTTCGGCAATTGCCTGACACGCCTGCTCCGCCTCGGTTACAGTCAGACCCCAGCTCGGTGATCCGATCTTGCGGGTGTTAGCCAACACCACTTTTGTCTGGGGGATCATCGCGAGGCGTACTGGCCTAAACACCTCGTTCTGTTTCTGCACGGGTACGCCATGCGTCTCCGACAGCAGCCAAAGGAACAGCACTGTGACCGCCAGCATGGTCGACCCTCCGGTCAGAATGATTTACAATAAATGTTTTGGTCCAGGCAAGCTGGTAGACTGTAACACTCCGACTGTGCACTCGTTATAGCTACATCGTTTTTGGTTCAAGGCGCCAATCACTCCGAGTCGCGTGACAGTCTCATTTAATGGTCTCCGGATTTTCACATGCAACGTGAAGTAGGAAGGGAAGTCTCTACGACAGACAGCGGAGACCCTAGGTGCTAACTCGGACATCAATATGCATACGGCATCTCAGTCAAACAAACTCAGTCATGCTTATCGGCTGATTTTGCGAAACTTAGTGGTATCAGCTTAGGAGAGATCACCGTAGCACATGCAACCACGAGAACTAAGAGGCGTAGTGCTTGCAGAATCGGAAGTGGAAAAGTGGAAATCTGTCCAGATGCGCATATGTGCAGTTATCGTTATATGAAATGGCCGCCCGAATCCTGCCTTTAAAAGCAGACCGCAAATGCGTAAAATGTGGCTTGCTATCCTAATTCGCATGACTTGCCATTACTGTTAGGCGTCAGCTTGGAAATTACAATAACGTCTCCGAATTTTAACTCGCGCCTTGTCCGAACATTTGCAGATGCCATGGTAACCCGAAGGAGACTGTTTACCCAAATACGACGCCTTGTTGTCGCAACTAGGCCGACAGCATTGTCAGCCACCCCTGAACCTCGGACACACACAGATTTTCACACGGTGTGAATCGTTTACGACAAGCCCCGTCTGCCTCACACATTAATTTACTATTCTTACCGACAAGTGTTATTGGCGCAGGCCTGTCCTCAGTAAATAACCAGGAGAACAAAGGGTGCAGACAGAAGGGGCTAACTGACAACAAAATTGCTTTGCATAAATTAAAAAAATGAAGGAAAATAAGGAGAATTCTTTTGCCTGTAGGCAAAAGAATATATGCTAATTAACATGAGGTTCATTTGTTAAGAGTGATGCGTACAAACCAAAGCAAATGTTCTCAAAAAGCTCTCTGCAACCTTGAACACCGCGTCAGATTTTCTGCCCCAAGTCTATCAAAACCATTTTGCCGTTCGTCAATCCGTTTCTCCGAGGGCAGACAGTCGGGTGTAAGGACTTGAGACATTTTTCTTAACGATTGAACTTTGAACCTCACACTCACACACACTTTCACAGGGTGTGAATCGTTTATGACAAGCTCCGTCTGCCTCACACAGATTAATTTACTATGTTAAGCGAAAACAGCTATTACTTCAGCTCTTTCCTTGATAAGCAACGAGGAGAACAGGAGGTGCAAAATAAGATGGCTAAATTACCATGAGAATGCTTTAACTGAAAAAAAAAAAAAACGCCGGAGGAGAAAGGGAACATTTGTTGTAGTTAGGCAAATCATTCACTTATAAACAACAAGGGCTGTCGGAAGGTAATGTTGCGATCGCTGGAAAAAGTGTATTTGCCTGCTGTTTCGAATTCTTGCTCGAGCCTGTCATCAGAGGTAATCGCAGTATTTATAGTCCGCAGTGGCCAAATGACTACATACATACAAAGATTAGCAGCCCCTGCGATCACCACTGGGGGCCCTGATTAAGGCGAGGTTTGGCAGTCCGCATCTGAGTCATTAATGACCGTGATTTCATCCTTCTTGTTGAATTTTGCCGTGATAATTACGCGGCAATCTGGCTCCCGGTCATTGGAAGCATTGGTCACCCGTGCCCCGCCCCGTGGTACTGATTAACCCGCCCGGACAAAGTCTCAGCACAGAATGTGGTAAGGCTTCTGGACGGACTGTGAGGTGACTAACCATGACTAGGGCCGCTGGCGGTTTAAGTGGTTGTCACCTTTCGTGAGTATTTTAGTCTCATTAACCTTGAAAATCTGGCCACTGTGTGAGCTATAACCTGATAGTTA